CAGAAGCACACACTCTGTGGCTCCCATGGCAAAGGAGAGAAACATCTGCCCAAAACAGGCTGAGAAGGGTATAGTTTTCCTGGGGGTCAGGAAGCTGTCAAGAATGAGGGGGACTGAGGAGGTTGTGTAGCAGATGTCCAGGAAGGAGAGGTTCCCCAGGAAGAAGTACATGGGGGTGTGCAGGCGGGAGTCAAGGATGGTCACCAGGATGAGGACCCCATTGCCCAGCAGGATCACTAGGTACATTGACAGGATGAGCACAAAGAACATTTTCTCCAGTTTCGGCTGATCTGACAGCCCCAGCAAGACAAATTCTGCCACAGAGGATTGGTTGGTCACTTCCATTTTAAATTCTTTCTTCTGCCCTTAGGAAAACTGAGGGCAGCAAACATATGTTTATAGGGATCAATGTGTGGGGATTATTATGTGATGCTTCCAGCACTTATAATTAAATGTACCCTTTGACATACCAACTTGCAATATCAGTGTCTAAGGGATAAAATTCACTGTCTGCTAAAGTTACCTTAAAACTCAGGCTATATTTCATCAAAAGCAGGAAAGGGACAGCATGGAAGTCTAGTTAAACTATGATACCTGAAAGAATTTTAGCCAGATCAGTAGTGTTAACACACTTGAAGGAAGGGATGTGTAAGGATGAACCTACCTGGGAACCATAAAACAGAAACCCAGAGGGTCATCCCTGACTGTTCCCAAATTGTCCCTGCAGTGTCCTTAGAGTCTTCAGGCTGTCATCTTCCATGATGCTAACCACTGGCACCACCTCACTCCCTGGCTCTAGTTCTATGCTTGTATAATAATTTTTCTGATGGTAATTTGGCTCCCCCTGGAGTCCTGTACAAAAGTAGTATGATGAACACAGGCCAGGGAGATTAGGGTTGGCCTAATATTTACATTTTTTACTTGATGTCTGGTTTATACTTTGTTTCTTATGAGTTTGTTTGGCCATCCCCCTTCATGACACTGTCAACAGGAGTTTCTGGCCGAAAGACCATGGAGACCTAACAGAAGCACTTCCACACCCCCCCTCTCTAACCGTGGACTTTGTCCACAGCACTGCAGTACCTCAGTCTGCTCCAGCCCTGGGGGTTGGGGAGCAGGAATAAAATCCAGGGACACATGTCCTGTATGCCTCTCACATTGTGACCAGACTCTATGCTTCTGGGGCTATTTTATAAGTCACAGCTCCTAACTCAGGCCCTTCTCCATCTGAGTTGACCATTATAGCCACTGACACCACAGTAATGCTTTCTCCACAGGAAAGCAGACACTTCTACCCAGCCTTGCAGAGAGGGCTCTCAAAGGAGGTGCTGCCTACAAGATGTCCTTCAGTAACTATAGAATGGTCTAGTACATAAGAGAAAACCAAGTTCTGACTGCTCGCTCACCTTAAAGATGAGGAAACTGAAGCTCAGAGAGGCCACAGTGCCAGGGCTGGAGCCTGGTTCCTGACCTTCTCCCTAGGGCTCCTTCCCTCACCACTGTCTTCTGGGTCCTCCGTTTGTGCCAGAGCAGGTTTACTGAGAAGCAGAGGAGCAATTATGAAGTCTTGGTCCTTGTCGCTCTCCCTTGGACACTCATGAAAGGTACAGGTATCACACCTTTCTCCAAAATATCTGCCCAGTAGCAGGGTTTGGGTGAGTGGGGTGTCTCTGGGCTTCACACTTTGCACCTGTGACTACTACACTGTTGCTGGTTGGGGAAGACTAGACGGGAGAAACCAGGCACAGTCTGAAGCTATCCTCACAGTTTTCAGAGATTAACTGTGGACGCTGGGAATATTTAGGGAAAAGAGATCTATTTTTAGAGACAGTAATGCTATTGACTGGAGATTCTCAGACTTGGCAGGAATGCTGTAAAATAACTAGCCTTGCCTCTTTCACCTCCCTTGTATGAATATCTTCCGTGAAACACAATTTTTCCATTTCTGCTTTGAACATCTTGAGTTGCATGAGTGCGTGGCTCCCATTCCTTTGTCAGACAGATGTGATTGTTGGAAAGTTTTCCTTTACTTTAAGGAGAAACTTCCTTCTAATGTCATCCCCACTCCTCACTCCTGCCTGCCTCCACACGGGTCTAGACTCCCAGGACATGCCTGCTCTCTTCCTTTGGAAAAACCCTTCAGAGACATGGAAGCTGTGACCAAGCCTCGCTCACAACTGCTTCTTCTCTTCCCCCCACCTGCCTGGAGCAGCTTTAGCCACAGAGAGAACTCGGTCTATGTCCAGGGTAGGGATGAGGCCATAGCGGGGACAGGAGCTCACCTGGACAGAAGGTCTCTTGGCAGGGAGGGTGCTGGAAGGCCTCTGGGCTTGGCAGGTGATTGCTTCAGCTGCCCAGGGTGGCCATCCCCTGTACGGCCCTACCCGCTGGGGCTGTGCCTGGATGTGTGCAGCAAATCCTGTTTAGCTGTCTTGAGGCTCAGTAGTCCCTTCAAATTTTACAGCAAAGTAAGGAAAATTTAGGGTTGACCATAGTTGAAGGGGCTCTGGCTGCTCCCTTTCAGTGGCCTTCTCCATGCCCAGCAAGATAACCAGAGGAAGGACAACCTGAGTTGTGCTTCCCAGTGGTCCTGGTGGTCACGCCCAGCCTGCACACTCAGGGCAGACACCCTCTGCTTTTTGTCCCTCGCCCTCTCCCCAGAGGTTCTGTCACGGAGCCGTGGAGCAATTTAGAGCTCTGGTTGTTTGGGGCCAGTTTTAATCCCAGAAGCAATTTAAAGATTGGTGAGAGTACTCACAGGAGTTGAGGGTCTGTGTGCCATAAACCCAATTAGATAAGATGCAGACAGTTCTATGTAAATATTAACTCTCACTACAGAGAAATGCTCCTTAGATTAGAAGGTTCCCATCTTGTCTTTGCAGACCCTCACGGAAGTAGAGGGACAACTAAGGTCTGGCTGTGCTTTGCCCACAACGGTGTATGTTAGGGGGGCTCTGCACGTGTCGTTGCAAAGCTAAGTGTCAAAATGAGAGGTGGAGGGTTTGCCTCATTCCCAAGAGACACACTGGTCTTCCGCATGCTCCAGAGCAGCCGGCCCTCACCCCAGCCCCTCAACATTGTCCCTCAGAGCTGACCAGGCCTGGCCTCTGCCCTGCACCAGGCACTGGAAAGAGAGCAGAAATGACAGCTACAGCCTGTGAGATGATTGCCAAGTATCCCTGAGTTTTATGAGAGCCCAGAAGCAAGGAGGAGTCAGTGGTGGGAGGTCAGAGGGGAGGGTGTGAGGGGCACCAATGTGAGAGACCCGTCAGGAGAAGGAATTATAAGGCTTAGGGACAGGTCAGGGTTAAAGAAAAAGACTGAACCAAGGGCATCAGTTCATAACTAAGAGAGGGAAAGGAAAACAGAACAAAACAAGAGACAGGAGGGAGGGCATTTAAGCTGGCATAGGAGACGGGGGCTGAGAGCTTGTTTGGACATTCAGTCACAACAGCGAATTCCTCTGACCAGCTCCTTGTTCTAAACCAGGCACTGAGAATACGAAGATAAATAAAAAGTCTTTCCTGTAATTGGCAGACAAAGAGGGCTGGAGTTGACAGTGGGATGCTAATTTTAGTAGATTTTGCCACTTGCTGAGAACACAGTGCTTTTAACCAACCTCCCTTGAAAGGTTTCCCCAGATTAACTAACGCTACTCATTCCCCCTGCAAAGTGCATGGGCCAACACCCGGGGCAAGTCGCATGCTCGGGGACAGTGGGCTGGCAGGTACGTCTGCTCCTACTATCTGGGAGGGACGCTAAAAGGCAGTTACGTATATTCCCCCGGCTGCTGAAGTCAGTGGTTAATCTTGTAGTTATATTAATTTTATTTAAATTACATAAACGGAGCTAAAGAGGGCGAAAAGAATTGCTTAAATGAAAACTAAGTGGAATGCTTTGGAGAGACTGATTAAAGGCAAGTTGTTAAAATGAATTGCTGTCATATCAGATGTCAGGGAGACAGCTGTAAAATTCCAGACAGATTCAACACTCTGATCCTTGTGCAAAAGTCTTTGCGTTCTGACTCCACTTTAAGAAAATTGAAATAGAAAACTGTAGACAATGTATCATAGGTGTGGTTAGTTACAAGTCCAATTTGTGGGCTCATAGGCAAGAAAAGGCTCTTTCTATAGTAAAGCTTGGCAAATAAGTCCAGTTATATGTTGTAAATTAAAAGAGATGTTTAAGGCAGTGGTTCTCAAACTTTTTGACCTCAGGACCCCTTTACATTCTTCAAGTACTCTTCTGTTTCTTCTCCTCTGATACTCCCATTACACGTTATGTTATACACTTCTCACAGTTGTCTCACAGCTCTTGGATAGTCTACTTTTTTTTTTTTTTTTTTTTTTTTTTTTTTTTTTTTTTTTTTTTGGA